GGTTCGGTCAGTAAGTTCCAAGTCATCACCGCCATTGGCACCTCAAGAGGACCTTCTAGGTCATCACCGCCATGTGCATCTACCAGAATGGACCTGTCCGCCGTGAGTGTCCAGGCGCAAGAGTTTTCGAATATCAACGAGCTCGAGTATTGACGGTCTGGGAACGAGTCTAACTGTGAATGTGTTGGGGTGTGAGTGAATCTCCGTAGTATTCGTGCGCCTCTGCGCATGAGCCTGGGGCCTCGTTGAGCCTCTTGAAGCCTCCATGGGCTTCCTGGAGCCTCTTGGGACCTCCTGGGGCTCCAGGAACTTCATGGAGCCTCCTGGGGCCTACCGGGGAGGATCCGTGCCCCAGGAGAGACCCCAAACATAGGAACAGGCGTAACACACATCGGATTTGAGCCACAGGAGAGGGGGGCAATCTACAGGAACACGCGTAACGCAGCTATGGCTCGTGCCCCAGGGCAGGCCCAATCTATAGGAACATACGTTAACCACTTAGGAGTGCATACGCAGGACAGTGACAGTCTATAGGAACATGGGAACATACGTAGAACACTTGGGATTGGAGCCAAACCTGCGGCCTTCTGAGGCCTCCTGCTCCTGTGGCCTCGTGGGGGTTCCTGGAGCCTTCCTGGGCCTGCCTTCCAGGGCCTCCTGTTGCCTCCTGTCGCTTCCTGCGGCCTCTTGTGACCTCCTGTGGCCTCCTGGTGCCTCCTGGTGCTTCTTCAGTGCCTCCTGGGGCCTCCTGGGGCCTCCTGGTGCCTCCTGGGGCCTGCTGGGGCCTCCTGTGGTTTCCTGTGGCCTCCTGATGCCTCCTGGCACCTCCTGTGGCCTCCTGGGTCCTCCTGGAGCCAGCTGGAGCCTCCTGTGGCATCCTGAGGAGGATCCGTGCCCACGAGTCTGGCCAGCAAAATAAGCGAACCGCTCGAGATCTCCTCGCAATCTGGGCCACCAGGGGTGCGAAAACCAGCGTCTCGCACGAGACATCCTCCGAATCTGTTCCGACAGCGGAGGATGTTGAGTTGGTAAACAGGCAAACTGCTTTAGACATCCCCGCAATCTGGGCGCGAACGGAGGCCCTGAGCATGCAAACAGGCAAATCGCTCGAGACATCCTTGCAATCTGGCCCCTCTTGTCATCAGCACCGTCATCACCACCATCATCATAATCATCATCATCATCATCATCATCATCATCATCACCATCATCACTATCATCACCATCACCATCACCATCACCATCACCATCACCAACATCAGCATCATCATCATCATCATCATCATCATCATCATCATCATCATCGGCATCATCATCAGCAGCAGCACCATTATCATTATGATTAGCAGTAAACTAACCAATCATCATCAGCAGCAGCATCAGCATCAGCATCAGAATCAGCATCACCACCAGCAACACCACCACCACCACCACCACCACCATCATCATCATCATCATCATCATCATCATCATCATCATCATCATCATCATCATCATCATCATCGTTATCGTTATCGTTATCATCATCATCATCATTATCATTATCATTATCATTATCAGTATCATTATCATTATCATTATCATCATCACCATCACCATCACCATCACCATCATCATCATCATCATCATCATCATCATCAGCATCATCATCCGTCACCATGCTCTTATCGTCATCAGGGGGAGGAGGAGAACGGAGGAGGGTGTGTGTGAGGAAGGTCCACGCTGTCACAATAATGATTATTCACTGCGTGGAGCTCCCAAAATTTGTATATGTTAGCATGGGCCTGTCCGCCGTGAGAGTCTAGGCGGGAGAGTTTTCGATTACAAATTAGCTTGAGTATTGACGGCTTGGGAGTGAATCTAATTGTGAATGAGTTGGAGTGTGAATGAGTCTCAGTAGTATTAGTGCGTCTCTGCGCATGAGCCTGGGGCTTTCTGGGGCCTCTCGAAGCCTCCAGGGGGTTCCTGGGGCCTCCTGCAGCATCTTGGGGTCTCCTGGGGCCTCTTGGGGCTCACTGGCCTCCTGAGGCCTCCTGGGGCCTCCAGAAGCCTCCTTGAGCCTCCTGGGGAGGATTCGTGCCTCAAGGAGAGGTCCAATGTATAGGAACATACGTACACAAAACACAACGGGTTGGAGCCGCAGGAGGGGGGCAATCGGGCAATCTATAGGAACACACGTAAAACACAAAAGATTCGTGCCCCACGAGAGGCCCAATCTATAGGAACATACGTAAACCATCTAGGAGTGGATACACAGGAGAAGGACAATCTACATAAGCATATGTAAAACACCAAAGGGCCGTGCTCCATGGGGAGGCTCAATCTATAGGAACATACGTACAACACCGGGGACTCGAGCCACTCCTGTGGCCTTCTGATGCTTCCTGCTCCTGGGACCTCGTGGGGGCTCCTGGGGCCTTCGGGGCCTCCTGGTACCTCCTGGCGCTTCCTGTGGCTCCTGTGGCCTCCTGGGGCCTCCTGGTGCTTCCTTGGACCTCCTGTGGCCTCCCGGGGCCGCCTGGAGCCTGCAGGAGCCTCCTGTGGCATCCTGAGGAGGATCCGTGCCCACGAGTCTGGCCAGCAAAATAAGCGAACCGCTCGAGGCCTCCTCGCAATCTGGGCCACCATGGGTGCGAGAACCAGCGCCTCGCTCGAGACATCCTCCAAATCTGCTCCGAAAGCGGAGGATAGTGGGCATGCAAACAGACAAACCGCTCGAGGCATCCCCGCCATTTTGGCGCGAACGGAGGAGTGAGATACCCCCTGGCGGCTCCCCCTTGGAGGTGCTGAAACCCGCGCTTCGCTAGAGACATCTTCAGAATTTGCTCCGCAATCATCATCGTCATCATCGTCATCATCATCATCATCATCATCATCATCATCATCATCATCATCATCATCATCATCCGTAGCCATTTTGGCTCAAGCCCGAGCCATTTTGGCTCCAGGCTGGTTCCAAGTAGGGCCCAGCGTTTGGGGAGACTGACACGGGATCTGTTTGAGGATATGCCGAAGAAGACCAAGCCTCCTAGCATCAAGGCCAAGTTCGCCGAATATGACAAGGATGGCAGTGGCAAGATCAGCCTTGATGAGTTTAAGGCGCTCCTCAAGCAAGGGGACCCCAATATCTCGGAGTCGTCCGTGATGACCGTCTGGAAGAAGGTCGACAAGGACGGCAGCGGGAGCATCAGCTCCAGCGAGCTCGCAGACTACCTGAGCAGCGGCGACAAAACGGATTTCAAGCACCCCAGCATGTCCCCAGCGTGCAAGACGTTCTGCGACGTCTTCGCGAGCCTGACCCTGCAGAGCGAGGCCGGGAAGGAGGCCCGCGCTCACGCCTTCACGGCCTGCGACCCCAACGGCAACGGTTACGTGTCCCTTGCCGAGGTGGATGGGTGGATCCAGAAGGTCTTGATAACCTACTTCGCGCAGGGCGAATGCGACGGAGATCCCAAGGAGGAGGGGGTGCGCATCTGGAAGTGCTTCCGAGCTTCCTACATCCGCGCTCACACAGATGCGAAGGACGTGGCAGATGGGAAGACATCTCACAGCGACGACTACGTGACAGCGAAGGAGTTCCGCGTCCTCTGCGTCTACCTCATCCTGTACGCGGCGATGTACGACGCCTTCTGCCTCATCGACGGCGGTGGTGGTACCGTCGAGGACAAGACTGACGATGATCGCAGGATGACGGCGGAGGAGTGGGCGGCGGGCTACAAGAAGGTTGGGGACCATGGCTTCATCGGCCTCAAGAAGGCGGCCGCGATGGATGCCGCGGGCGCGGCGGAAGTATTCAAGAAGATGAACAGCGGCAGGGACGCCGACGGCAAGGAGTACGGAAACGACAACGTCGTGATGCTGGCCGAGTTCTGCGCGTACGTCGAGGCGGAAGAGATTGCCGCGGGGACGGAGTGGGGTAAAGTCTTGGGCCTGTGAGGCAGCCCAGATGCAAGGGTCTGAGTGGTGCCGTTGCGCCCTTCTCTTTCCTCTCTGGCACCTGACTGAGCCAGTCCGCTTCCCATGATTTGAAGAGGCGATCAGCGCGCTTAATGCAGCGCGCGTTCCACGGCTCTACGCTTGCGGATCGGCGCAGTCCGTTTGGATGTGCGCCCCTCCCCCCGCACGATGCAGCCCGCTTGGATATCTGCGCCTCCGAACGTATCGATCAGATCGGTGCTGATGCTGATGCTTGTGCTGATGTTGATTATGAGGAGGAGGAGGAGGAGGAGGAGAATGAGGAGGAGGAGGAGGAACAATGAGGACGAGTCCCGAGGAGGGCGAGGGGAAAAGGGGGAGGCCGGTGACGAGGAGGAGGAAGGAGGGAGGAGGGAGGGGGGACGGACAAGTGGACCACAACGGCGGGATGGACGAGGAGAAGAGGCAGGGACTCGCAGCGGGGGAGTCCGGTCGAGAACTTCTGGATAGCGTGTCGCTCTCCGGGTTCTGGCCCGCCGCGCTTGGGTGCGATGCGCCATCCACCTCGCGGCCCCGAGGCGCCCACGTGCCGCGCTTTTCCGAGCCTCCCGCCGCGCGGAGCGGAGCGACAGGCTGTCCACTCATGAGGCGCAGAGCGTGTCGCCGGGGCCGCCATCCAAGAGGTCAGCCGGGGGGCGGTCGGGAACCATGGCCGCCTCTCGAGGACAGGCAGCTGGACTGCGGGGCCGGGCGTTTTTTTTTGGTATTCGCTCAGGTCTGGGCCTCGATCCGCCATGAGTTGCGCAGTGTGTGGTCATCGAGAGCCAAGAGCCTCGAACCCTACGAACGCAACGAAGCCGTAGCCTAGCTCAGGTCCCCATCGTTGCATTAGGGACACCAGAAAAAGGTTGATTATGTTCAATACATCTGCTGAGCAGACCCCCTATCGCGAATGCCTGGGGCCTGTTGACGAAGGTCCGCTCCAAAAGAGTTGGGGGCCCCTTAATTTAATTCCTGATCGTTTGGGTGTTCGAGTCTTGGCCGCAGGGGCGCGCCCTCCCTCCCCACGCGACCGCCCCGCGCAGGTCTCAGCGCGCAGCGGCCGCGCACGGCTCGTCGACTTCGGCTTCGCGCGGCGCGCGTGGCGCGCCACGTCCGTGGTGGGCACGCTGCAGACGATGGCCCCGGAGGTCGGGCATGTCACAGGAGGAGCAGAGGAGGGGGGGTCGGGGTCGTCTTAAGGTCACGTGTGCTTACTTTGACAGCGGGCCAACGATCAAGAATCGATTGCCTTGTCATGGGCACTTCTAGGAGGTGGGTCCTTACGGCCAGCGGCGCCCAGGAATCAAGAGACGCCGTCTTCGGGCCAGGACCCTGGCGGCGGGCGGGTCCCTGTGGCGAGCGGCACCCAGGAATCACCCTCTCCGGGTCGGGGTCTTGGGACCCCCCCCCAGGAAAAGATGCCGACAACGCTGCTCGTGCAGAGGAACCCTCGTGACCACGGCTGGGTCGTCTCCGAAAGGGTGGTCAGAGCGCACCTTGGGGGCCGGGGAGTGGCGCTATCGGTGCGTTTTTGTTCCCCCACCCGCTCGCCGGGAGGGAGCAGGTACTCATGACACGCCGCCATCGGCAGCCCGTCAGCGAGCTGCCCCTTCCTTTGCTGCCCGCTGCAGACCATGAGTCCGGCATTCGCTCCGGGGCACTGACTGGGTCGGGCGAAGAGGGCATGCTTTCGGACGTTTTCGTCAGCCCCGGGCTGTTTTTTCCTTGGCTTCCCGCCGGTAGCCCTCTCCCAGCTCCCGCTTCCGCTGGGCGCCGCCCTGCTCGTGGCTGTGATGCGTGCGCCTGCCCAGGGCCAGGCCCGCTGCCTCTTGGCCCTCCCCCCGCCGCACCTGGCTTTGAGTGTGGCCCCCGCGCGCCGCTCTGCGGCAGCCAGCGCCGTGGTCGCGCTTCGCCTCCGCCACGCCGCGCCGGCGCAGGGCCACGCGCCCAGCCCACCGCAGCAGCCCCGCGCAGCCACCACTTCGGACGCCCGAAATGGGTACGAAAAGAAGGGGTACAATGCCCAACAACAAATGTTGTCCCAAACCAACAGCGGCCGCTTTTGGGCTGGCGGTCTCCTGTCTCGAATGGGCACGGGCCGCGGCGGCGTGGACAGCGAATCCTGTTCAAAATGGACAGGAACTGCTGTTGGGCATCGTACCCATTCTTTCCGTGCCCATTTCGGGCGTCCAAAACCTCCAGGCGCCCCCAGCCCGCCACCTGATGGCCAGCCGTTCCTGCAGCGCCCTACTTGCTGGGCCCCGCCCTGCAATGCTGCCGCCGGCTCCTCCCCAGGGTGCGCCCGCGCCGCCGCCCCGCGCTCGCTGCCAGGGGCTGCTCTGCGGTCCTGCCGACCCGCGCGCCCCCCCGCGGTCTCGCCGCGTGACGGCGCTCTCTTCCCCTTGTCCCGTTTACGCGGCCGCCTCTCGTCATCCCCCCTCCTCTTGCGCGCGGGACACGTCGCAGTACCGTAATTAGCCCGGGTTGCCTGGACGCGCGTGCGGCTTGCCTCTGCCGCGCTGCGACGCAACAAGTTTTCTAGCTTCGGGGTTCTCTCCAACGTCTGCGTCTTGCCGAGAACGTTTCCAGGGGTGTTCGGATCGTTCCGGTCGGCGCCGGAGGCCCGAGTTATGACCTTAGAGCCAGGCGACGAGGATCCCCCGCGGAGGGGTGGTAGGCAAGGGGCAGCTACGACATGTGATGCGTGCGGCTGGTTTCGGCCCCGCCGCCGTGCACCTTGCCTCGATGCAAAAGTACCAGCGGCGCCAGGAGGCGCCACGAAAACCAGCTACGTGAGCTGATTCGCCCACTCCGGTGTGCTACCCCTTGTCGTCCTCCGACCAGAGACGATGGGCAGATAGGCTCAAGGGATTGGAGGTCGTTCGTCGTGGGGGAGAACCCGTGTCAATGGCAATGCGTTGTTGGGGGCCCGTCGGCGCCTTCGTTTCGGTCAAAATGCCCAGTGTGTTTCTTTGATCGTAACGCGCTGATGGTTTCCCAACGCCGGCGTGTCAGTGATATTTTCTCGATCCCCCTTTTCAGGGTCGGCGATAAGGGGGGATAGGCCCAGGGGGGGCCATCGACCCCTGGTCGCCCTTTCGTTGCCGACGGGGGTTTGATAGGCCCCCCTCGCAGGAACGCGCGGTTTTGCTATCGAGAGCCACTCGCCGATTTGTCGGCGATGTTGTACAGGCGATTCCGAGTCCATGTGTTCCTCCTCGCGCCAGTCCCTTTTGATCAGTCATTTTCAGTAATCGCTTCCTCGTCATCGAGCCTCGATCTTCGCGGGGGGGGGTAACGTCGGCAGCACCACAGCAAAGTGGTCGCAGGCCCCTTCGGGTGTCCAGGATTGGCGCTGGACCCCGTGGCAGCACCTTTGCGCTCCCCCTGGCGCCCCCCTCGCTCCAGGGAGGACTTCTTCGCGCAATTGACAGGGGCACAGGTCGGGAGAGCGCTTGTGTATGGGAACGAACACTGACATAAACATAACAACGCGGAGATCCGCGTGGATTTCTCGGATCCGCGCTGGGGCCCCCTGGCGGCGCCTCCGGCGCCGCCCCTGGCGCGATCCTCCGCGCGCCAAGGAAGAGTGTCCAGCGCGGATCCGAGAAATCCGCGCGGACTTCCGAGTTTTTCTGTTTATGTCATTGTTCATTCCCTTATTGTGAGCCTGTCGCGCAGTCGAGTTGCAACTGCACGGCCAGATCGGAACAAAAAACGCGCGAGGACCTCTGTAAGCTTTTGTGTGTACCGAGGTTTCTTTTCTGGATCCTCCTCCCCACCGTCCCATCGTCATGATCAACTCATCAGGTCGATCGTCCACATCGTACCCTGCCCGTGCGTCGATCATTGTCTCAGCAGGCCTACGTGGGCCATAATGGTCCCTCAGGCGTGCTTTTCGTCTTCCTTTGTAGCCGCCAGCAGCGCCTGAATCCTCTGAGGAGGTCCAGCAGCTCTTCACGGGAGGCCCTCCTGCGGCCCAGGCGTCCCGCCGGGGGGGGGGGTCGTCCTCTCTCTCGCGTGTTGCTTCTTCTGCATCGTCGCCTCCCCCGCGTCCCTTCAAAACTACGTCTCGTACGGCACGGAAGGCACAGGCCCAGCGGGGACCGCGCGTCCAGGGTACTCTCGTCGTTCTGTAGGACCGACGTCGCCCCCCGAGGCCGCTCTTCTTCTCCTGCTTGTTCTTATTGTTTGTCCCCTTCTTCTTCCTCTTCCTCGTTTTTTCTTCTCCCCGCAGCCGAGCCACTGCATATCCATAAGCTGCTGGAGCTCCAGAAGTTGTTGATGCTGCAGTCGCTTGTGCCTCTATCTTCTTCATCTTCTTCTTGTTATTAGTCTTCTTCTTCTTATTCTTCTCATTATCCTTCTTCTTCCTTCTCTTCTCCCCCTCCCCTCGAACTTCGAGCCTCGCGCCTCCTTGATCCTCGGGCCGCTCCCCGGGCCACGGGACTCCCGAAGGTCATCGCCTGCGCGCCGCACCTCGCGCTGCCCGCGGCCGCGGAGCCCCAGGCCCCCCCGCTGGGGCTCCCGCGGGGGAGGGAGGAAAGACGAAGATGGAGATGAGGATGAGGATGAGGACGGAAATGACGATGCGGATGAAGATGATGATGATGATGATGATGATGATGATGATGATGATGATGATGATGATGATGATGGTGATGATGCTGATGGTGATGATGATTAAGATGGTGATGCTGATGGTGATGATGACTATGATGATGATGATGAGGATGATGATGCAGATGATGATGAGGATGCGGATAATGATGATGGTGATGAGGAGGATGATGCTGACGATGTTGATGATGAGGATGTGGTTGATGATGATGGTGATGAGGATGATGCTGGTGATGAGGTTGAGGGTGATGCTGATGATGATGCTAATGATGATACTGATGATGATGCTTATTTTGATGATGCTGCCGATGACGATGGTAATGACAATGATGCTTACGCTGATGATCATGGTCATGATGATGTTGAGACTGATGATTGGGATGGTGATGATGATGGTAATGGTGATGAGGATGAGAGTGAGGATGAGGATGCGGATGATGATGCTGATGGTGTTGGTGATGATGATCATGATTGAGATGGTGATGATGATGTTGATGATGATGTTGATGATGTTAATGATGATGATGATGATGCTGATGTTGATGATGATGCTGACAATGATAAGGATGAGGATGCGCCCGGTGATGCTGATGATGATGACGGTAATGGCGATGCTGATGATCATGATGCGGTTGATGATGTTGATGATGCTGTTGATGATGGTGATGAGGACGAGGATAAGAATGAGGATGCTGATGCTGGTGATGCTGATGATGATGCTGGTGATGGTGATGATGCTGATGATGATGCTGATGATGATGGTTGCGATGGTGATGGCGATGCTGATGGTGATGATGATGGTAATGATGATAATGATGCTGATGATGATGGTGATGAAGCTGATGATGATGATCATGATTCTGCTGATGATGGTGCTGATGCTGATGATGGTGATGGTCATGGTATTGATCATGATGTTCATGATGCTGGTGATGGTGTCGATGATGATGAGGGTGCGGATGCGGATGTTGACGCTGATGCTGGTGATGGTGATGGTGATGGTGATGATGATGATGATGATGACGCTGAGGATGAGGATGCGAATGCGGCTGCTGATAATGCTGATGATGATACTGATACTGATGATGATGGGGAGGATGATGAAGAGGATGAATATGAGGATGATGATGTTGATGCTGATGATAATGGTGGTGATGATGTTGCTGGTGACGATGGTGATGGTGATGAGGAGGATGAAGATGAGGATGATGATGTAGATGATGATGGTGCTCACGATGATGGTGATGACCATGCTGATTACAATGAGCAGGGTGAGGATGCGTATGATGATGCTGATGAAGATGCTGCTGCTGATGATGGTGATGGTGATGAGGATGAGGATCATGATGATGATGATGATGATGATGATGATGACGACAAGGAGGGTGGGGATGAGGATGAGGATGCTGCTGATGATGACGATGCTGATGGCGATGATGACGATGGTGATGACGATGATGCTGATGATGAGGATGACGATGTTGATTATGCTGATGATGCTGATGGTGATGATCGGTGATCCTAATGATGGTGATGATGCTGATTATGATGGTGATGCTGATGCTGATGATGACGATGATGATGATGATGATGATTATGCTTGCGATGCGGTTGATGATGCTGATGCTGATGCTACTGATGGTGATGGTGATGGGCATGATGATGATGGTGATGATGGTGATGATGATGATGATGCCGCTTCTGATGATGATGTTGATGATGCTGATGGTGACGAGGATGATGATTGCGATGACGATGATGATGAGGATGATACTGATGATGCTGATGATAAGGATGATGACGATGGTGATGATGACGATGATGATGATGACGATGATGATGATAATGCCGATGATGATGATGATGATGATGATGATGATGATGATGATGATGGTGATGGTGATGGTCTTGGCGATGATGATTATACTGATGACGTTGATGCTGATGATGATGGTTATGCTGATCATAATGCTGATGGTTATGATGATGGTGATGGTGATGGTGATTATGATGATGCTGACGATGACGAGGGGCATGGAGATGCGTATGATGATGGTTGTGTTGATGATGATGGTGATTATGCGGATTTTGATGCTGACGATGATGATGATGATGATGATGATGATGACGATGATGATGATAATCATGATGGCGATCAGGATGCGGATGCTGATGATGATGCTGTTGCTGATGGTATTGATGATGGTGATGATGATGATGAAGATGATGAGGATGCGGATTTGGATGGCGATGCTGACGGTGATGCTGATGATGATGATGACGATGTCGATGCTGATGATGATGATGATGATGCGGACGCTGATGATGATGGTGATGCTGATGATGACGATGCTGTTGCTGATGATGATGCTGACGGTGATGCCGCTGATGCTGCTGACGATGATGATGATGATGGTACTGGTAATGATGATGCTGACGAAGATGATGAGGATGAGGACGCGGCCGATGATGCTGATGATGCTGATGATGAATGTGATGATGATGATGATGATGATGATGGTGCTGATGGTGATGGCGATGGTGATGGTGATGATGAGGGCGAGGATTTCGATGATGCTGCTGATGCTGATGATGATTGCGATGGTGATTGTGGTGATGTTGACGATGACGATGTCGCTGATGATGATGGTGATGGTGAGGTTGATGGTGATGGTGAAGATGAGCATGATGATGCTGATGATGCGGATGATGCTGATGCAAATGATTATGCTGATGGGGTAATAAGATGGTGATGTTGATTGTCATGACAATGGTGATGATGACGGGGATTGTCATGAAGATGATGATGATGCTGCTGATGATGATGGTGATGATAATTGTGATGGTGATGCTGATGGTCATGATGATGGAGACGCTGTTGGGCATGCTGATTAGGATGGGGATGCGGATGATGATGATGCTGATGATGATGATGACGGTGATGCTGATGATGCTGGTGATGAGGATGAGGATGATGATGATGGTGCTGCTGATGCTGATGATGCTGGTAATGATGATGATAATGAAGTGGACGAGGATGATGATGAGGATGAGGATGGGGATCATGACGTGGATGTTGATGCTGATGATGATGATGACGGTGATGGTGATGATAATGATGACGATGACGATGACGATGATGATGATGATGATCATGGTGCTCATGACGATGATGTGTATGCTGGTGATGATGGTGATGGCGCTGATCAGGATGATGATGATGCTGATGGTGATGGTCGCGATGCTGATTGAGATTTGGATTCGAATGATGATGATGATGATGATGATGATGATGATGATATGGATGATGATGGTGATGGTGATGTTGATGATGATGATGATAATGATTATTATGATGATGATGATCATGCTGGTGATGACGCTGACGATGATGATGAGGGTGCTGATACGCATGATGATGCTGCTGAAGAAGATGGTGATGGTGATGATGATGCTTATGCGGATGAGGATGCAGATGCCTATGCTGATGATGATCATGATGCTGATGATGCTGACGGTGATCATGACGACGCTCATGAGGATGACAATGATGTGTATGATGTGTATGATGATGATGATGAGGATGAGGATGATGATGATGATGATGATGATGATACAGAGGGTGATGACCTGACGATGATGATGAGGATCAGGATACGGATGATGATGATGATGATGATGATGATGATGATGATGATGCTGATGCTGATGATGATGGTGATGCTGACGATGCTGATGAGGATGGGGATGCGGATGAAGATGATGATGATGCTGATAGGTATGCTGCTGGTGATGATGGTGATATCGGCGATGATGATGAGGATGCTGATGATGATGTTTATGATGAGGATGAGGATCAGAATGCGGAACCCGTTGCTGCTGATGATTATGATTATGATGACGATGACGATGCTGATGCTGCTGCTTCTGATGCTTCTGATGAGGGTGATACGTTTGCTGATGGTGATGATGATGGTGATGCTGATACTGATGGTAATGGTGATGGTGATTGTGATGACGATGGTGATGCTGACGATGATGATGAGGATGAGGATGCGGATGATGTTGATGCAAATTATGATGATGATGATGGCGATGATGATGATGATGATGATGATGATGATGATGATGGTGATGTTGTTGCCAACGATGATGCGGATGAGGACGTGGATGATTCATTGGATGATGATGAGGTTGTTGATGATGATGCTCATAGTGATGATGACGATTATGAGGATGAGGATGAAGAGGAGTTTGATGCGGATAATGATGATGCTGATGATGACGGTGATGATGATGATGACGGTGATGATGCCGATGACGGTGTCGACGATGATGATGATGTTGTTGATGATGATGTTGCTGATTATGCTGATGATGATGCGGATGCTGATGACGCTAATGCTGATGATGGTGATGGTGATGGTGATGCTGATAGTGATGATGACGATGATGATGATGATAATGTGGACGATGGTGATGATAATGGTGATGATGAGGCCATGATGATGATGGTGATGATGGTGATGACGATGGTGATGGTGATGGTGATGATGCTGACGATGATGAGGACGATATTGATGCTGATTGCGATGATGATGATCACGCTGATGATGACGATGATGATGCTGCTGATGATGTTGCTGACGATGATGATGCCGATGTTGATGATGATGATGCGGATGAGGATGAGGATGATGGTGATGATGGTGGTGATGATGACGATGGTGAGGATGCGGATGCGGATGATGAAGATGCTGATGATGATGATGATGATGATGATGATGATGATGATGATGACGGTGGTAGTGATGGTGGTGATGCTGATGATGCTGACGATGATGACGAGGATGGGGATGCGGATGATGATGCTGCTGCTGATGATGATA